CCCAATGGTCTAGTGGTTGGGATCCTGACATGGTATCAGAGCGAAGGTCTCGGGTTCGAATCCCAGTGTGTGCACCTCGGGCATCTTAGTGCGGGGGGTTGTCAGAGGTCCACTGGAGATCCCCGATTGATCCTAGGGAAGGGTTACAGGCACGTTGGACTGGGGGGTTATGGGCGCACTGACCCACTACTTAACAAGCCCTTTTATCCCAATGGTCTAGTGGTTGGGATTCTGACATTTTGGGGTTCGTCAATGACGTGCACCGGTTCGTCCCCGACATGGCGAAGCTGATTGCCCCGTTGACCGACCTGCTTAGGAAGGGGGTTGAGTACACGTGGGGGGAGAAAGAGCAAGCTGCCTTCTCGGCCCTCAAATACATTTTGTGCTCACCGCCCGTACTTTACATCGCAAATCCGCACCGTCCGTTCGAGCTCGTCACCGACGCTAGCGACATCGCTGTGGGAGCAGTACTGTTGCAGGACTTCGGGAACGGCCTTCAGCCAATCGCGTACGAGTCCCGCAAGCTTCACCCGCCCGAACGAAACTACCCGATACACGATCGCGAAATGCTGGCGATTGTGCACGCGTTCAAGGTGTGGCGATGTTACCTCACGGGAGCAGACGTGACAGTACGGACAGATCACCGATCACTACAGTACCTTCGCGCCCAACCGAATCTCAACCCACGACAGATCCGCTAGTTGGACTATCTGGAGTCCAATTTCCACTATACTGTCACGTACAAAAAAGGCGCATCCAACATCGCCGACACACTCACACGCCCCACCGCCCACCTCCACGCCATCCTACTCGCCCAAACCAACCCACTGTTAACAGGCCTATTCACCCACAGATACAGTACTGACCCATTTTTCACGACCCGAAATTCACAGCAACTGGCAGAGGCCAGAGGAGTCTATTACGTAAAAGCATGCACCAACCGCATCTGGGTACCCGCGTATTCACTACTGAGGGAACTGCTACTGCAGGAGGCACACGACAGGATTACCCCAGGACACTTCGGGGTAGAAAAAACGCGACAGCAACTGCAGCGGTATTACTACTGGCCGGAGATGTTGACCGACGTACAGCACCACGTGGGCTCGTGTCCTACGTGTTAGGTGATGAAGAGCTCGCGAAAAAGAAAGGCGGGTCAGTTGCAGCCGATTCCACCGCCTGAGCGCGCCTGGCAGCAGGTTACCATGGATTTCGTCACAGGGTTACCTTCGAACCCTGGGGGTAACGATGAGAAACTGGTCGTCGTTGACAGGTTGACGAAGATGGCACACTTCGTTGCGTGCAAGAAATCGATCTCAGCCGAAGAAACCGCTCGCCTGTTCATCGCAGCCGTCGTTCGACTGCACGCGATACCAGCCGCAATAATCTGCGACCGCGACACGAAATTCACCAGCAACTTCTGGAAGAACCTCTGGGAGCAGTTCGGGACAAGGCTACAGTTCAGCTCGTCGTACCACCCTGAGACCGACGGTCAAACGGAGCGGACGAATCAGACGATGGAGCAGTTGATTCGTGCCACATGCGACGACCCGACCACTTGGGAGCAGCAGCTGCCGCTGATCGAGATCGCGTACAACAACGCCACGTCAGCGACGATGCAGCAGTCCCCCTTCTATCTGAACTACGGGCAAAACCCTACAGTGCCCATGACGCCGAGTCCGGACAACCCAACACCACGTGCACAGCAATTTGCCGAAATTCTGCAAGCTGCCCGCACCAGAGCCGCAGAAGCAATTAAAGAAGCCAACGTCATCGCTAAGCGCAACGCTGACCGCCACCGCCGCCCAGTCACGTACCAGTCAGGAGATTACGTATTGCTCGACACGCTAAACTTAAGACTGCCCGTCGTGTCAGAATCCCAACCACTAGACCATTGGGATAAAAGGGCTTGTTTCAGTAGCGGGTCAGTGCGCCCATAACCCCCCAGGCGAACGCGCCTGTAACCCTCTCCAGGATCAATCGGGCATCCACAGTGCAAATCTACTAACACCCCCCCACACTGGGAGGCCCAGGACTAAGCATAGCGGCAACGGCCTACATGTGCATACATCGGGAATTGAACCCGAGATCGCTCTGATACCATGTTAGAATCCCAACCACTAGACCATTGGGATAAAAGGGCTTGTTTCAGTAGCGGGTCAGTGCGCCCGTAACCCCCAAGGGCGAACGCGCGTGTAACCCTCCCCAGGATCAATCGGGCATCCACAGTGCAGATCTACTGACACGTCGTACCGAAATTACGAGCCCGCTACTGTGGACCATTCCAAATCAGCCACATGATTACCCCAGTGACAGCTCACCTACTGTTGCCGACGGACTGGTACATCAGCCCTTCATTCCACGTCAGCTTGCTTCGCCTATACATCCCAACCACAAGCCAACTGCCTCGCCACCGCCCGCCATCCATGACTCGCCCTGCATCGGACCCGATCATCGAGCCCGAAAAAATCATGAGCCATCGGATTCGACATCCCACGGGAATCAGGAGGATTGAATTCCTCGTTCGCTGGAAGGATCGCACGCCAACCTAGGATAGCTGGGTGCCCCTGGCCAACATCGAAAACCACCCTGCCCTGCGAGTGTAAGGAATTTTCTCGAAAACCATCGGGGCTTCCGCGATATACACGCACTCGCGTAGCGGAGGGGGCTGCTTGAGGGGGGGGGGGGGTAGTGTAAGGAATTTTCTCGATATTCCTTAGCGCACCCTGCAACATCGCGTACAGCAGCAGCCGCTGTTCGCTCGTTACTGCTAACTGGGCTTCGCCGACTTCGCGCGCACTGTTTCACCAAACCTCGCACTGCTGGCATGGCCGTATCGGCCTACGCTTCGGGACTAGCCCGAGCCTCGCTTCCAGCATAGCATTAGCTAGCTCGCACGCACCGCGTTACCGTTTGCATGTTTCGCGTATAAATGTTCGCTCATGCCTTCGCTCACATTTTGTACTCGTTTGACACCTTAGTGCAATTCTCGCTACTTCGATTCATTGCACCCGTAACATCGTTACTGTTTCGCACGAATTTCAAATTTCGAAACTGAAAAAAAGTGTCACAATTGTGGTACGGACGCTTCATCGTCTGAACCACATTCCCATCCGTCTGGACGGAGCTTTGTTGGACGTTTTAGGTGCTCCGTCCGGACATTTGACTAAAATGGAAAAAGTTACGCGCCCTAAGACCTAAAAGATTGCACTCACTGGACGAATGTAAGAAAAGGCTTGTTTGTTTGTGCTCTTCAGCGTTGTTCGACTTCGACTTCGTTCGCAACCAGAAAGTGAGGTAACCTGCCCTAATCCCGCTGCCTCGCGACTCACAATTCACAGCACTCCCTGGCTCACAACCCTTCGCAAAGCCCTGTTACGACGTGAGCACGGCAATTTCCGGCAGGGGCTGTCAGCATCTCAACTCCTTCCCTTGCTTTCCACGCGTTTTTGCGAAGCACACGAAGCACCACGTGGCTTCGCGAAGTGCAATGTCGATTCGCAAAGAACCACGCGGATTCGCGGACCTGCTGGGCGTGTCCCAGCCCGAGCTTTCTCTTGACGGTGCGAGATAGTTCTAGAACCACTGTCACAAGTCTCGCCACTCTTATAAATACCAATCTGATGGTGGAGGAGCCATTATTCAACCTACAATCGTCGACCACAAACAAACCAGCTTACTATCAAATCAGCTTACGACGATCTCAAGACTTAGACAAAGCCTTATTTTTAAAATCGTATTAGCTTCGCCAGCACCTTATTGGACAGAGACGGTAATCAGAGAATGGCATTCGGTATGTCAGATTTGCTGTTCGATCGACAACAACCCCACGTTTTCGCACCTCCTTACGCGAGCCATTATCACTCCGAACCGTCACCTTGGAACTTTGCCTCCTCGCCCTCTCCGCTTTTTGGCGATCCCTTCCAATTCGACGATGGCTTTGACTCGCCAGCGGGGAACTTGGCGCAGAGGCGACGCAATGACACGCGGAAACATGAGACTGCGCGGAAGCAGCAAGCGCACGAGCTTAACGCGCGAAGGCAGACAGCGCGCGTGGGAAGCGCGCAGCAAGATGTGAATGGAACGAAGATTCGACAACCACGGAAGCAAGGACAAACAGTTATCCCTCAAATACCAGTCCAGCACCCAGCAAGCAATAGTAGAACGCGACCCGACGCGCCGGCAGCGTCGCCAATGGCGGGCGTCGCCCGCATTCCTGCTGCTAAATTCGCTCCCGTATCGCTATTAACGGCTGACGATGCTGCTCGGAAGTTGCAAGCAGCATGGCGGGGCTATTCTGTGCGCCAAGGCAAGCCTCTCGAACTGGCTCGGTCCATAGCTGACGTTCGGAAACTGGTTAGCGAGATGGACGAGCAGCTTCGGGACAACGCTTTCGTGGCTTTGATGGCTTCCGACCCTATGGAGAAGCTTCGGGTGAGCGAGACGATCATGAGCTGGCTGCTTCGGTTGGACGAGGTGCAGTCCCCGAACCAGGACGTTCGGAACTTACGGCGAGACATGGCCAGGAAGCTGACGAAGCTGCTAGACAGGGTCGACATTCTCACAAGTACTCAACCACAGAAAGCTGAGGCTCCCCTTGATGTTGTCGTTGACACGGTGCTACCACAATGGATGATTCAGGAGTGGATGTAGACTCACCATGCGCGAGCAAGGATTGCTGCCATTGTGGCAGTCAATGCAGCGACAATAGCTGTATGAGCTGTGAGAGCTCTGATGTTGCCACAAGCACGCATCAGGTGGGGAGAGTGGCGAAGAGGCAAAAGCAGAGGCACTGGAGGGATGCGTTGTGGCAGTGGAAGGAGAGAATGAGTAGAAAGCGAGGTGGTGCATGCTAGTACCTAGGACTGTAAATTTTGGTACCACATACCCCTGAATACTACAAGGATACATGGGGAAATTATGAAATGTACATTTTACTATCATAGTATCATGGTGTATATCAAACTACCCTAAACCCAAAGTCAAGAAACGCCAATACAGCACTACCGGGCATAGGGGCCTGTGAGCGTCTGACGGTGCGTGCCAGTGTCATCATACCCACCCATCCCTCCCTGCTCCACCTTAAAGTTTGACCAGTTTGACCCCGGTTGACTAGTTGAAACAGGCAAGTGGCTCCAGAGGGTTGACAAGCTGGCAACCCCTCCTGTGACTCCACTCTCAGGTGACCGGGCGGCAGAGGAATATGTTCCTGCTACTGCACTGCTGGTACGACTAGCAAATGACAGGGCAGCAGAACCGTAACCGCTGGCACGACTGGCAAGCGACACGTCAGCAGCACCATAACCGCTGGTGCCACTTGGGACTGCCCTTACGGGGCCCACAGGAGTGCCTCCCCCAGGTAGCGCCCGGAGATGGTCCCTGATGCTGCGCAGCGCAGATACGACCTGCTCCATGTCGGGACGAAGCGAGGGGTGCTCTGCCGTGCACCACAGCGCCACCCGCAGGAACGTGCCGAACGTCTCCTCCAACCCCTCCACCATCTCCCCTGCACTCACTTCCCCTCCTGCCGCAGAAGAAACAACAGCAACGGCAGCAGCAGAAGCACTGTGAAAAGAAGCACCGTTCGACGCAGCAGCAGCAGCAGCAGCAGCAGCAGCAGCAGCAGCAGCAGCAGCAGCAGCAGCAGCAGCAGCAGCAGCAGCAGCAGCAGCAGCAGCAGCAGCAGCAGCAGCAGCAGCAGCAGCAGCAGCAGCAGCAGCAGCAGCAGCAGCAGCAGCAGCAGCAGCAGCAGCAGCAGCAGTAGCAGCAGCAGCAGCAGTAGCAGCAGTAGCAGCAGTAGCAGCAGCAGCAGCAGTAGCAGCTGCAGTAGCCTGGAGAAGGTCAGAGAGTTTGGGATCGATGGCGGCGGGCAGGCCGTCTTGGCCGAAGGCGAGGTGCAGCACGACCTGGCTGAGCGGCACTCCCTGAATGACAGGCGGCTGCCCCGTGGCCAGCTGCAGCAGCACCACCCCGAAGCTGAACACGTCACTGCGCTCCGTCAGCACCTCCGACACCGCAAAGTGTGGGTCGATGTAGCCCTGAAGGTTGGGGGGGGGGGGGGGGGCGGGGAAGGGACGAGGGATAAAGGGGGAAAGGGAGCAGAATGGGAAGCTGAACACGTCACTACTGCGCTCCGTCAGCACCTCTGACACAGGGTGAGGTTGTGGGGGGTTGAATGCGGGGGTTCACAACAGAGTGAGTGAGTTGAGTGCGCAAAGTGTGGGTCGATGTAGCCATGGGGGGAAGAGTGCAGGGGGGCGGGGGCGAAGGGAGTAACGAGGAGGAGATGTGCAGGCTGGTGAAGGAGATGTGCAGGCTGGTGAAGGAGATGGATAGAGGAAATACCAATGGCCATTCCTTGGAAAAAGCAAGCATAATATAAAAAATGCATGCAGCAACAGCAATTATTCTGGTCATTCCTTGGAACAAACACAGCACTATGTGTCCTCACCTTGCTGCCAACCATCTCACCTTGCTGCCAATCCTCTCACCTTGCTGCCAATCATCTCACCTTGCTGCCAATCATCTCACCTTGCTGCCAATCATCTCACCTTGCTGCCGATGATCTCCTCCTGCACCAGCTCGCCCCTTTCTGGCAGCGACTTGGAAATGCCAAAGTCCGCCACCTTGGCTTCCAGAGATGCTGTCAGCAGAATGTTGGCGGGCTGGGGGTGAGAGGAGAGAGAGAGAGAGAGAGAGAGAGAGAGAGAGAGAGAGAGAGAGAGAGAGAGAGAGAGAGAGAGAGAGAGAGAGAGAGAGAGAGAGAGGAGGCAAAAGAAGGAAGTTATCAGATTAGGAACGGCGAGGATGGTAGCATACTAAATCGAAAAAAAAAGAAAAGAAAAAACGATTGGATGGCAGCATACCTTGATAATATTTTTTTAGATATTGATAAAAATAGCCATAGCTGGTACTGTATGGCAGCGTACCTTGATATCGCGGTGGACGATGCTGGGTCTCATCTCTTTGTGCAAGTAGTGAAGCGCACTCGCCGCATCAAGTGCAATCCGCATTCTCTCCTTCCACGATAGAACGCGCCCTGTCTTACCTGCAACAAAATTCATCATAAACAGAATGATATATTAAAATGGAAGAAAAAATATATCTTTCCATGATAGAATGCGCCCTATCTTGTATTCAAGGTAGTGCCGAACAGAATTGAAAAACAAAGTACGGGACATTACATACAAATGCTTCCAACAAGGTTTAAGGCAAAATCAAGCGGTGTCAAACCTTGCACCACACACCCAACCGCACACAACCGCACTACATCCCATGCCAGCCCACCTTTGATCCAGGCGCGCCCCCCTCCATGAATTCAAACACCAGCAGCTGCTCGTCCTTCTCCACACAGAAGCAAACCCTTGCTCCACACACCCAACCGCACACAACCACACTGCATCCACTGTCAACCCACCCACCTTTGATCCAGGCGTCCAGAGCCCCCCCCTCCATGAATTCGAACACCAGCAGCTGCTCGTCCTTCTCCACACAGAAGCCGGTGAGCTTCACCAGGTTGCCGTGCGACACCGCCGTCAGCATCTCGATCTCGTTCTTGAAATCCACTCCTGCATGCCGATGCTTCTCCGTTGCTTTCTTTATCGCCACCGACTCGCCGTTGAGAATGCCATGGTACACCTGGATAAGAGCGAAGGAAACGGTTTGGTTTTTGAGGGGCCTAAAAAATTGTCTCATGACTCGCGGATTTTATACAGGGAGAATTGAGAATGCCATGGTACACTTGGAGATGAGCAAGGGAAACAAGTATACGAGAGAGAGAGATACATTCCTGAGAACGCCTCAGTACACATACCCATCATGTCCCAAGTATGAAATGCTTGGGGACAAGATAATAAAGAACGGCAAATGAGATGGACTGGAGAAGAGAGAAAATCGACTGGGAAAATGCGTTATTTGGCCTCAAATTCACCTTGCCATAACCTCCCATGCGCAACACCAGTGAGTCATCAAAGCCACTGGTTGCCTTCGCCAGAGAACTCTATTTCAAGATAAAATGTTACCCTCTCAGGAACACACGAAGACTGCCTTCCTCTCCCTCCCAGAGTCACCTTGCGGTAACCGCCCGTGCCCAGCACGAGAGAGTCAACAAAGACATTAGTTGCCTCTGTCAGCTAACAAAAACTATCTGCACACCTCTCCCTTCCAACACTGTTCCACCCTCTCAAGAGCCACAAAAACTGCCTTCCTCTCCCTCCCTCCTCGCCTTCACCTTGCTGTAACCGCCCGTGCCCAGCACAAGCGAGTCATCAAAGCCGTTGGTTGCCTCCGCCAGCTGTTGCAGCGTTTCCACCTCTCATGCCCTTCCGGACCCTCTCATCTCATGCTGTCCTGTGCCCTCTCACACGGTCACACCTACCTTGCCGTAACCGCCCGTGCCCAGCACAAGCGAGTCATCAAAGCCGTTGGTTGCCTCCGCCAGCTGTCGCAGCGAATAGCGGCGGGCGTGCTGCAGGGTGATTCCCTCCAATGCCTCGTAGTCTGCACGGTTCCACCCTGAAAGAAGGAAAGAGGGAGTAGGTGGGCGGGATGAACGTGTGAGAGGGATGGTGAAGCGGGGGGTGGAGAAGAGGGGTCAATGAGGGGTCAATGAGGGGTCAGTGAGGGGTCAACGAGGGGTCAATGAGGGGTCAATGAGGGGTCAATGAGGGGTCAATGAGGGGTCAATGAGCGGAAGCAGGGTGATGCCCTGCACTCCAAGGCCTCGTAGTCCACATGGCTCCACCCTGCGGTGAGAGGATGAATGGGTGCGAGGGGTGCGGGAGGGGTTTGGGAGGGGATTTGGAGGGGATTGGGAGGGGATTGGGAGGGGATTGGGAGGGGATTGGGAGGGGATTGTGAGGGGATTGTGAGGGGATCGGGAGGGGATTGGAGGAACATGGATGGGAGCTGATGAAAGGATCAACTGCCGGTTGGTGCAATTCCATGCCCGTAGTGCCAGAGCACCTGAAAGGGCAACAGGGCGAAATCTATGGTACGAGGAAAGAGGGGTGTGAGCCTGGGAGGACATGCTCCATGCCAAACTGTTCTCTACCACACATACCAATTTGTTGATTTGTTTTTTGTCTAGAAATATATGATTCTGTCAGCTTGGAAAACTATGTACCGCATGCCTATTATATTCAGCCGTCCATTGAAGGGTCACGGATGGTCTTAAAATTGCCTAAAATTGAGTTTTACACACTGAAATGTGTAACACACATCTGCAAAATGACATAGATAATGTAATTCAAATTGTTGTCATGCTCTGTATTCTGCAGCAATGACTCAAAAGTAGACCCCTCACATCTCTCCTCGCTCACACCACGCACACCTCTCCACGAGAGTGATGACAACAGAAGAGGAATCTGACTCAAAGAAAAAACCACTCACTTCGCTTCTCCCAGGGGCGCATGAGCAGAGCCACAATGAGGGCGATGGCAACAGCAGCGCAGCACACTGAGATGGCCACGATGGCGCCCGTGCTCAGCCCAGACGAGGGCTGCTGCTGTGATGGGGAGTTGTAGGCTGTTTATGGAAGGAGAGGAGGGAAGGGACACGCAGGTGAAGGAGAAGAGAGAAGGGACAAGGGAGCACACTGAGATGGCAACGATAGCGGCGGTGCTCAGCCCAGACGAGCTCTGCTGCTGTGGTGAGGGGTTGTAGGCTGTATAGGGAAGGAGAGAGGGGAATGGACGCGCAGGTGAAAGGGAAAAAATAAGAGACGAGAGAGGATTGTACTGGTAGGACGAAGAGGAGAGAGGTTGGCACAAAAGCAGAAGCTGTCAGCTGGGAGAAACAAAGAGACAACTGCCAACAATCAGTAAAGGGACGGTCACCGATAGTGGAATAATGCAGCTCATGAACACACACAATCACGTCATCAGACGTCCCGACAAAAGCATGGAACCAGACTCACGCGCCGGGCCGTAAAATCCCGCGTTTCCAAACAGCCTAAAGTTGCCGAGAGCAACGCGCACAGCAAGGTCCCGCGAGGTGAGGGCGTTGCGGATAGCCTGCGGTGTGTCTAGTGGGACGGGACATACTCCAACCAATGCATCTCACGTGCTAGACAATATGGCAAACTCACGCGCGGGGCCGTAGAAGCCCGCAACTCGAAACAACCCAAAGTTGCCGAGAGCAACGCGCACAGCAAGGTCCCTCGAGGTGAGCGCGTTGCGGATGGCCTGCGGTGTGTCTCGCGGGTACCAGCTGTCGTCGCCGCCCGGAGGGAAGAAGAGGAGGGTGATGATGAGCGTTGACTCGTGATCGGCGTGGTCCGAGGCGAAGGTGGAGGCGAGGGAGTAGAGAGAGGCGGGGCTGCTGATGGCCGAGATGAGGAGCTGGTGGGGAGTGATGGGAGGAGGGAGGAAAAGGAGGGAGAATGGATGAGAAATCAAGTCCTGGATTCGTGGGTGGTGCGCTCTGGGGATGCCCTGGGGTGTGGTATGTTGCAGGGGGGTCATCAGAAATTGTTGGCCCCTGGGGGGGAAGAAGAGGAGGGTGATGATGAGCATGGACTCATGATCGGCGTGGTCCGAGGCGAAGGTGGAGGCGAAGGTGGAGGCGAGCGAGGAGATAGAGGCGAGGCTGCTGATAGCAGAGATGAGGAGCTGGTGGGTGTGAGAGGGGAAGGGAGTGACAGGGACGGAAAGGGACCTCGGTGATGGACAGAAAGGGACAATCAGACAGAAAGGTGGAGGCGAAGGTGGAGGCGAGCGAGGAGAGAGAGGCGGGGCTGCTGATAGCCGAGATGAGGAGCTGGTGGGTGTGAGAGGGGAAGGGAGTGACAGGGACGGAAAGGGACCTCGGTGATGGACAGAAAGGGACAATCAGACAGAAAGGTGGAGGCGAAGGTGGAGGCGAGCGAGGAGATAGAGGCGGGGCTGCTGATAGCAGAGATGAGGAGCTGGTGGGTATAAGAGGGGAAGGGAGTGACAGGGACGGAAAGGGACCTCGGTGATGGACAGAAAGGGACAATCAGACAGAAAGGTGGAGGCGAAGGTGGAGGCGAGCGAGGAGATAGAGGCGGGGCTGTTGATGGCAGAGATGAGGAGCTGGTGGGGAGTGATGGGAGGAGGGAGAAAAAGGCGAGAGAATGGATGACAAATCAAGTCCTAGATTCGTGGGTGGTGCGCTTTGGGGATGCCCTGGGGTGTGGTATGTTGCAGGGGAGTCATCAGACATTGTTGCCCCCTGGTGAGTTTTGAGTCGACTCAAAACTCTTTGGGGATGCCCTGGGGTGTGGTATGTTGCAGGGGGATCATCAGCAATTGTTGCCCCCTGGGGGGGAAGAAGAGGAGGGTGATGATGAGCATGGACTCATGATCGGCGTGGTCTGAGGCGAAGGTGGAGGCGAGCGAGGAGAGAGAGGCGGGGCTGCTGATGGCCGAGATGAGGAGCTGGTGGTTGTGAGAGGGACAGACAGAAGGGAAGAGACGGTGACGAAGAGAAGTGACTGATGCATGTGTGGTGTGCTCCGCAGGAAAGGATGATGCGAGTGATCGATCAGTGGGAGGTCGGGCTGCTGATGATGGCTGTAGATAGTACCAAACTTAATCTCAGGTAACGCACTTAAGTAACGCACTTCTACTTGGTATCAAACATAAGCTTAAGTTAAGCACTTATACTTCGCACTCGTCGTACCTCTCAACCGACCTGGCCAAAAAGATGGGTCGGATCGGGTAAGGTCGACGTGATCTGACTGTGCCATTCGAGATTACCCCCGTGTTGCTAATATTGAAGGCTCACCTGGGACCGGCTGATGTTGATCTGAGACTTGCTGGTGAGCTCTGAGAAGATCCGCTCCTCCAGCTGCTGCAGCTCCGAGTAAACCCAGAGGGTAACTGCCCTCCGGCCCAAATACTCGTGTTCCCCTGGGATTTCCTAGACAACTCACTTGCGTTTTGAGACGTCTCAAAACACTTCTTCAAATACTCGTGTTCCCCTGGGCCTGGGATTTCCTAGACAACTCACTTGCGACCGGCTGATGTTGATCTGCGCCTTGCTGGTGAGCTCCGAGAAGATCCGCTGCTCTAGCTGCAGCTCAGATTAAACCCAGGAGTGAACTGTTGAAGTTGATCCAGGTGTAGTCTACATGACCCACCTGTGGCCTGCTGATGTTGATCTGCGACTTGCTGGCGAGCTCCGAGAAGATTCACTGCTCTAACTGCAGCTCAGATTAAACCCAGGAGTGAACTGTTGAAGTTGATCCAGGTGTAGTCTACATGACCCACCTGTGGCCTGCTGATGTTGATCTGCGACTTGCTGGCGAGCTCCGAGAAGATCCGCTGCTCTAACTGCAGCTCAGATTAAACCCAGGAGTGAACTGTTGAAGTTGATCCAGGTGTAGTCTACATGACCCACCTGTGGCCTGCTGATGTTGATCTGCGACTTGCTGGCGAGCTCCGAGAAGATCCGCTGCTCTAACTGCAGCTCAGATTAAACCCAGGAGTGAACTGTTGAAGTTGATCCAGGTGTAGTCTACATGACCCACCTGTGGCCTGCTGATGTTGATCTGCGACTTGCTGGCGAGCTCCGAGAAGATCCGCTGCTCTAACTGCAGCTCAGATTAAACCCAGGAGTGAACTGTTGAAGTTGATCCAGGTGTAGTCTACATGACCCACCTGTGGCCTGCTGATGTTGATCTGCGACTTGCTGGCGAGCTCCGAGAAGATCCGCTGCTCTAACTGCAGCTCAGATTAAACCCAGGAGTGAACTGTTGAAGTAGATCCAGGTGTAGTCTACATGACCCACCTGTGGCCTGCTGATGTTGATCTGCGACTTGCTGGCGAGCTCCGAGAAGATCCGCTGCTCTAACTGCAGCTCAGATTAAACCCAGGAGTGAACTGTTGAAGTTGATCCAGGTGTAGTCTACATGACCCACCTGTGGCCTGCTGATGTTGATCTGCGACTTGCTGGCGAGCTCCGAGAAGATCCGCTGCTCTAACTGCGCCACCAGCGCCTCATGGTACACCACGAAATCCGATATAAACAGCTCCAGGTCGGCTCTTAACGGGGACACGCACACGCAGGAGAGCGACTCGTTATAGAGCGGTGCGCTAGGGCTGTAGAGGTCGTTCTCGCAGGCGAGGCCGTCACAGAAAGCAGGGGCGGTGTATTGGGTGAGGGGCGTCGGAGGGGAGCAGACTTGCGTGTAGTCTGGCTTGAATGGCTTGCACAGATCGTTGTTAAAAAGCCTGGGGGGGGGGGAGGGGGGGGGATGGGAGGTGGGGAAAAGAATGTGTCCTGGGTGAGGGTGGGTCTGGGGGAGCAGGATTGCAGCTAGTCTGTGTGAGGGGGGTCGGAGGGGAGCAGACTTGCGTGTAGCCTAGATTGAATGGCTTGCAGAGACCGTTGTTGAAAAGCCTGGAGGAATGGGAGGGCAAAGGAAGGCAGGGAGATGAAGGGGACATAGGGAGATGGGAAAGGCGAGGAGAAAGTAGAAGGGGAGGAGGAGGAAGGAGAGGAGGAGCAGGGAATAAGGGAGCAGGGAAACAAGGGGGTTGAAAAGAGAAGCTGGAAAAGAGAGAGTGCAAATCTGAGGGTGGAACAGAGGGGTTGCTATAACATCGATGGCAGCAGCAGCACTGTTGTGTTCAGGTACTGACTGTGAGGGTGACACACTGTTCAGGGGGGTGCTAGAAAGGCCACTCAGTAGAGTGAGGGAAGCACACTAGAAGGCGGCATACACACTCACTGCAGCGTGATGTTGGTTTCGGCGAGCATGGCGGGTGGCACGGAGGAGAGGGAGTTGTTAAAGAGGGAGAGCATGCCCAAAGACGCAGTCACTCACTGCAGCGTGATGTTGCTGCTCTTGGCAAGCAGGGCGGGCGGCAGGGAGGAGAGGGAGTTGTCAAAGAGGGAGAGCGACACGATGCTGGGCAGCGATGAGAGGTCTGGCAGGGGACCGCTGAGCTGGTTGCCGGATAGGAAGCTGGAACAAAGGGAGAAGGGAGAGGGGAGATGGATGGAAGGGATTGAGGGAGAAAATGAGGAAGTGAGGAAATAAGGGGGCACGGGGGTGTTTATGCCTTGCATACAGAGGGAGTGGGGGAGATGGTTGAGGTTGTTTGCGCTCTTACGCACATCTATTGCAAATTGGCGGCAGTAGTGATTTCTGAAAGGAAATGAGTTGACCTTTGAGTCGACTCAAATGTCAACTTAGCAGATCTTCCACTCACACGGATTGCAGCTTGGCAGCAGTAGTGATTTCTGGGGGTAAACTCGAGTCAAGAGCGTTGTTGGCCAGATTGCTGCATATGGAAGAGGGAGGGAAATAGGAGGGAGAGAGGAGGGGAGGGGGGCGGGTGGGCAAGAATAAGATGAGCTTCGCGTTGTTGGCCAGATTGCTGCCAATGGAAGAGGGAAAGAAATAGGAGGGAGAGAGCAAGGGAGGGGGGCGGGGGTTGGAGATCAAGATGAGCTTCGCGTTGTTGGCCAGACTTCTGCAGACGGATAGAGGGAGGAGAGAAAGAGGAGGGGTCATGACAAGGAGCAGGGCGAGGGGTCGGTTAAATTGGAAGTTATGCCTCAAACCAAATGCATGGCATGGGGTGCATGGCATGGGGTCATGGCATGGGGTGCATGGCATGGGGTCATGGCATGGGGTGCATGGCATGGGGTGCATGGCATGGGGTCATGGCATGGTGTACATGGCATGGGGTCATGGCATGGTGTGCATGGCATGGGGTCATGGCATGGTGTGCTGTGCAGGAGTGAGGCGGACATGAGGGAGGACATGTTGTGATATAGTTTCTTATTGCAGATTATTAACAATCAGCATGGTGCATGGGATGGCATGGGGGAAAGGCACACAAGTAAGAAGGGCACGAGTTGATAAACTGACAGGTTGACGAGGTTGGGGTGCTGCTCAAACAGAGTGCCAGGAATGGCGCCTGTGAAGCTGTTGCTGCTCAGGTCGCTGCGAGGGGGGAGGGGGAGCAGCGACAGGGAGGGGGAGGGGGGCAGGGAGTAGGGGTGGAGGGGGGTCAGGCAGGGGAAAGGGGACAGAGTACCCGGGATGGTGCCTGTGAAGCTGTTGCTGCTCAGGTCGCTGCGATGGGGGGGAAGGCGGGCAGTGGCACAAGGAGGAGAGGGGCGAGCGAGTGAAGGGGAGGGGTAAAGAGTGACGGGGAGCAGGGACAGAGATGGAACCTGTTGCTGCTCAGGTTATTGCGATGTGCGGCAGCGGAAGCAGGGACAGAGATGGAAAGGGGAGAGGGACGGGGAGAGGCAAATCGTGCCTGGGATGGGGAGAGGCAAATCGTGCCTGGGATGGGGAGAGGCAAATCGTGCCTGGGATGGGGAGAGGCAAATCGTGCCTGGGATGGGGAGAGGCAAATCGTGCCTGGGATGGGGCGTGAGATGAGAGCCTCTTGGTGCTCGATGTTTGACTACTTTTGAGACCACCCAATCAAAAGTCCACGCAGATCATGTGACCACATGGCATGCGACCATGGTGTTTGGCGTTCCACAGGACATGTCACCAACTCGACAATGCCCTCTCTGATTGGAACATGACTTTCTTTTTCCACTCCCCAGGATGGATAGATTGGTCGTGGCGGTGGTCGATGGATGGATGGAAGCATGATGGAGTATGGATGTATGCATTGCGAAACAGGGCTTACAGGTTGGAGAGGTTGAGAGAGACAGGGAAGGAGGGGAGAGGCTGTTCGGGTAGAGAGCAGTTGCTGACGAGGCTGTGTGGGGATGAGACACACATCCATGCATACACATGCACATACACATGCACCCCCACATACAAGCATGGAGACACACAGATTCGTGCCTACATGCACACATGCATCAATACGCACATGAATGTATGTGAGCATCAGAGCATCACATCCATACCATGCAATGCACATGCACATACACACATGAACATAGACACATGCATCACATGTACTAACAAAGCAGGCATTGAAATAAGAAAAGAAAAGAAGACACCTTGTGCTGTATGATGAGTGTGTTTGATGCAACTCTACTACGCTTAATGTATGCTTGATGAGCACACAAAGGAAATGGACGAATCAAGCAAGGAATTTGTCACCCAAACTAGAGCCCCGGTATCAGAATCCTTGAAGTAAATCGGAGGACAGAAACGTCGGATCTCTGGGTCGTAGAAAAGTGCTTGGGGTTGGCTCGAAGGGTTGGGACTCACAAGTCGGGTTGGGACTCACAAGTCGGATTAGGACTCACAAATCCTTGAGTTGGGGGAAGAACCAGGTGGAAGGGAAGGGTCCGGGTATCACGTTGTGGCTCCAGTAGCTGGTTGGTTGGTGAGGGGGGGCGGGGAGGGGGAGGGAAAGGACGGGAGAAAGGAGTCGGGGGAAGAACCAGGTGGAGGGGAGGGGGCTGGGTATAAAGTTGTGGTTACAGTAACTGGTTGATGAGGCAGGGGGAAGGGAGAAAAGAGCAGGGAGCAGAGAAGGGAGAGGTGGAGGGTAGAAGGGCGGGTAATGCGTTGTGGCTCTGTTGGAACTTGGATGATGGAATGGTACGAGACAAGCAGAAAGTCTGAGAGTTGGAAGCAACTGGTGAAAATTGGCAGACCAGTGGCAGAAAACGAGCACCATAAATAGGTGGTGCCGAAAATCGATCAGAATTATCGACGCTCGCTAAACACATACTTCCTTTTTTTTTTTTTTACATTTTCAATGCAGCACATCACTCGGACTTTTGTTTCAGGGGTGTGTGTGTGTGTGTGTGTGTGTGTGTGTGTGTGTGTGTGTGTGTGTTTTGGTTTCCACACCACACACACACACATAGTGGAAAGTGAAGACACATAGTGGAACATTCATGCACCGCACACACACATACATGACAGTGAGGTCGGTGTTGTTGAAAGCGAGTGGAAAGTCATGGGTGAGACGATTGCTGTCCATCAGCCTGCCAAACAACACACGACAGCGACGGAAAATAACAGAATGTAAAAGCTACAAAACATGTACGAAACAGCCATTAGAATGTCATGGGTGAGACGGTTGCTCTCCATGAGCCTGCCACTCAACATACGACAGCAGCGGAAAAGAATCCACGATGGGTCAACGAAACAGCTCAGATGCACTACACGACATTTGTAAGACAGTTAACCTAGTATCGTGAACGAGAGACGGTTGCCATACATCAAACAAGGCTAAGAGGACATACATTGTGGTTGGAATTTGAAAAGTTAGCCTGTAAACTTGTAAATCAGGAAATGAAATCTGTTGATCGATATGATTGATAGGCATCGTGAACAACGAATGAGGTAAGTATTTGTGTGCCTCGTTGTGCACCCACGGCCTACTCACGGTAAACCCAAGGCCTACCGAGGGCCTTATGGGGTAAGTATTTGTACTAACCAGGAGTACAAGGCCTTGACTGCTACTCAAGATAGCCAAGGCGAGATTTACTTGTGGGATAAACAAAACAAGCGCTCGTTGTGATCCGACTCAATACTCGAGGAGTAAACGATTACCCGTTGGGTGCTGGCTGGGTCAACATTGCCCTTGGGAACGACGAAGGAGTGTCGGCACCCGATCACGACAACACCTTATGAGTCGACTCAAAAGTTGAAAACCGCACGATAAGGACAACACCTTATGAGTCGACTCAAAAGTTGAAAACGCACGACCAGGACAACACCTTATGAGTCGACTCAAAAGTTGAAAACCGCACGATCAGGACAACACCTTATGAGTCGACTCAAAAGTTGAAAACCGCACGATCAGGACAACACCTTATGAGTCGACTCAAAAGTTGAAAACCGCACGATCAGGACAACACCTTATGAGTCGACTCAAAAGTTGAAAACCGCACGATCAGGACAACACCTTATGAGTCGACTCAAAAGTTGAAAACCGCACGATCAGGACAACACCTTATGAGTCGACTCAAAAGTTGAAAACCGCACGATCAGGACAACACCTTATGAGTCGACTCAAAAGTTGAAAACCACACGATCAGGACAACACCTTATGAGTCGACTCAAAAGTTGAAAACCGCACGATCAGGACAACACCTTATGAGTCGACTCAAAAGTTGAAAACCGCACGATCAGGACACCACCATATGAGTCGACTCAAAAGTTGAAAACGCACGACCAGGACAACACCTTATGAGTCGACTCAAAAGTTGAAAACCGCACGATCAGGACAACACCTTATGAGTCGACTCAAAAGTTGAAAACCGCACGATCAGGACAACACCTTATGAGTCGACTCAAAAGTTGAAAACCGCACGATCAGGACAACACCTTATGAGTCGACTCAAAAGTTGAAAACGCACGACCAGGACAACACCTTATGAGTCGACTCAAAAGTTGAAAACCGCACGATCAGGACAACACCTTATGAGTCGACTCAAAAGTCGAAAACCGCACGATCAGGACAACACCTTATGAGTCGACTCAAAAGTTGAAAACCGCACGATCAGGACAACACCTTATGAGTCGACTCAAAAGTTGAAAACCACACGATCAGGACAACACCTTATGAGTCGACTCAAAAGTTGAAAACCACACGATCAGGACAACACCTTATGAGTCGACTCAAAAGTTGAAAACCGCACGATCAGGACAACACCTTATGAGTCGACTCAAAAGTTGAAAACCGCACGATCAGGACAACACCTTATGAGTCGACTCAAAAGTTGAAACCGCACGACCAGGACAACACCTTATGAGTCGACTCAAAAGTTGAAAACCGCACGATCAGGACAACACCTTATGAGTCGACTCAAAAGTTGAAAACCGCACGATCAGGACAACACCTTATGAGTCGACTCAAAAGTTGAAACCGCACGACCAGGACAACACCTTATGAGTCGACTCAAAAGTTGAAAACCGCACGATCAGGACAACACCTTATGAGTCGACTCAAAAGTTGAAAACCGCACGATCAGGACAACACCTTATGAGTCGACTCAAAAGTTGAAAACCGCACGATCAGGACAACACCTTATGAGTCGACTCAAAAGTTGAAAACCACACGATCAGGACAACACCTTATGAGTCGACTCAAAAGTTGAAAACCGCACGATCAGGACAACACCTTATGAGTCGACTCAAAAGTTGAAAACCGCACGATCAGGACAACACCTTATGAGTCGACTCAAAAGTTGAAAACGGCACGATCAGGACAACACTTTATGAGTCGACTCAAAAGTTGAAATCCGCACGATCAGGACAACACCTTATGAGTCGACTCAAAAGTTGAAAACGCACGACCAGGACAACACCTTATGAGTCGACTCAAAAGTTGAAAACCGCACGATCAGGACAACACCTTATGAGTCGACTCAAAAGTTGAAAACCGCACGATCAGGACAACACCTTATGAGTCGACTCAAAAGTTGAAACCGCACGACTAGGACAACACCTTATGAGTCGACTCAAAAGTTGAAAACCGCACGATCAGGACAACACCTTATGAGTCGACTCAAAAGTTGAAAACCGCACGATCAGGACAACACCTTATGAGTCGACTCAAAAGTTGAAAACCGCACGATCAGGACAACACCTTATGAGTCGACTCAAAAGTTGAAAACCGCACGATCAGGACAACACCTTATGAGTCGACTCAAAAGTTGAAAACCGCACGATCAGGACAACACCTTATGAGTCGACTCAAAAGTTGAAAACCGCACGATCAGGACAACACCTTATGAGTCGACTCAAAGGTTGAAAACCACACGATCAGGACAACACCTTATGAGTCGACTCAAAAGTTGAAAACCGCACGATCAGGACAACACCTTATGAGTCGACTCAAAAGTTGAAAACCGCACGATCAGGACAACACCTTATGAGTCAACTCAAAAGTTGAAAACGCACGACCAGGACAACACCTTATGAGTCGACTCAAAAGTTGAAAACCGCACGATCAGGACAACACCTTATGAGTCGACTCAAAAGTTGAAAACCGCACGATCAGGACAACACCTTATGAGTCGACTCAAAGTTGAAAACCGCACGATCAGGACAACACCTTATGAGTCGACTCAAAAGTTGAAAACGCACGACCAGGAAAACACCTTATGAGTCGACTCAAAAGTTGAAAACCGCACGATCAGGACAACACCTTATGAGTCGACTCAAAAGTTGAAAACCGCACGATCAGGACAACACCTTATGAGTCGACTCAAAAGTTGAAACCGCACGACCAGGACAACACCTTATGAGTCGACTCAAAAGTTGAAAACCGCACGATCAGGACAACACCTTATGAGTCGACTCAAAAGTTGAAAACCGCACGATCAGGACAACACCTTATGAGTCGACTCAAAAGTTGAAAACCGCACGATCAGGACAACACCTTATGAGTCGACTCAAAAGTTGAAAAGCACACGATCAGGACAACACCTTATGAGTCGACTCAAAAGTTGAAAACCGCACGATCAGGACAACACCTTATGAGTCGACTCAAAAGTTGAAAACCGCACGATCAGGACAACACCTTATGAGTCGACTCAAAAGTTGAAAACCGCACGATCAGGACAACACCTTATGAGTCGACTCAAAAGTTGAAACCGCACGACCAGGACAACACCTTATGAGTCGATTCAAAAGTTGAAAACCGCACGATCAGGACAACACCTTATGAGTCGACTCAAAAGTTGAAAACCGCACGATCAGGACAACACCTTATGAGTCGACTCAAAAGTTGAAAACCGCACGATCAGGACAACACCTTATGAGTCGACTCAAAAGTTGAAAACCGCACGATCAGGACAACACCTTATGAGTCGACTCAAAAGTTGAAAACCGCACGATCAGGACAACACCTTATGAGTCGACTCAAAAGTTGAAAACCGCACGATCAGGACAACACCTTATGAGTCGACTCAAAGGTTGAAAACCACACGATCAGGACAACACCTTATGAGTCGACTCAAAAGTTGAAAACCGCACGATCAGGACAACACCTTATGAGTCGACTCAAAAGTTGAAAACCGCACGATCAGGACAACACCTTATGAGTCGACTCAAAAGTTGAAAACGCACGACCAGGACAACACCTTATGAGTCGACTCAAAAGTTGAAAACCGCACGATCAGGACAACACCTTATGAGTCGACTCAAAAGTTGAAAACCGCACGATCAGGACAACACCTTATGAGTCGACTCAAAAGTTGAAAACCGCACGATCAGGACAACACCTTATGAGTCGACTCAAAAGTTGAAAACGGCACGATCAGGACAACACTTTATGAGTCGACTCAAAAGTTGAAATCCGCACGATCAGGACAACACCTTATGAGTCGACTCAAAAGTTGAAAACGCACGACCAGGACAACACCTTATGAGTCGACTCAAAAGTTGAAAACCGCACGATCAGGACAACACCTTATGAGTCGACTCAAAAGTTGAAAACCGCACGATCAGGACAACACCTTATGAGTCGACTCAAAAGTTGAAAACGCACGACCAGGACAACACCTTATGAGTCGACTCAAAAGTTGAAAACCGCACGATCAGGACAACACCTTATGAGTCGACTCAAAAGTTGAAAACCGCACGATCAGGACAACACCTTATGAGTCGACTCAAAAGTTGAAACCGCACGACCAGGACAACACCTTATGAGTCGACTCAAAAGTCGAAAACCGCACGATCAGGACAACACCTTATGAGTCGACTCAAAAGTTGAAAACCGCACGATCAGGACAACACCTTATGAGTCGACTCAAAAGTTGAAAACCGCACGATCAGGACAACACCTTATGAGTCGACTCAAAAGTTGAAAACCACACGATCAGGACAACACCTTATGAGTCGACTCAAAAGTTGAAAACCGCACGATCAGGACAACACCTTATGAGTCGACTCAAAAGTTGAAAACCGCACGATCAGGACAACACCTTATGAGTCGACTCAAAAGTTGAAAACGGCACGATCAGGACAACACTTTATGAGTCGACTCAAAAGTTGAAATCCGCACGATCAGGACAACACCTTATGAGTCGACTCAAAAGTTGAAAACGCACGACCAGGACAACACCTTATGAGTCGACTCAAAAGTTGAAAACCGCACGATCAGGACAACACCTTATGAGTCGACTCAAAAGTTGAAAACCGCACGATCAGGACAACACCTTATGAGTCGACTCAAAAGTTGAAACCGCACGACCAGGACAACACCTTATGAGTCGACTCAAAAGTTGAAAACCGCACGATCAGGACAACACCTTATGAGTCGACTCAAAAGTTGAAAACCGCACGATCAGGACAACACCTTATGAGTCGACTCAAAAGTTGAAAACCGCACGATCAGGACAACACCTTATGAGTCGACTCAAAAGTTGAAAACCGCACGATCAGGACAACACCTTATGAGTCGACTCAAAAGTTGAAAACCGCACGATCAGGACAACACCTTATGAGTCGACTCAAAGTTGAAAACCGCACGATCAGGACAACACCTTATGAGTCGACTCAAAAGTTGAAAACGCACGACCAGGACAACACCTTATGAGTCGACTCAAAAGTTGAAAACCGCACGATCAGGACAACACCTTATGAGTCGACTCAAAAGTTGAAAACCGCACGATCAGGACAACACCTTATGAGTCGACTCAAAAGTTGAAACCGCACGACCAGGACAACACCTTATGAGTCGACTCAAAAGTTGAAAACCGCACGATCAGGACAACACCTTATGAGTCGACTCAAAAGTTGAAAACCGCACGATCAGGACAACACCTTATGAGTCGACTCAAAAGTTGAAAACCGCACGATCAGGACAACACCTTATGAGTCGACTCAAAAGTTGAAAACCACACGATCAGGACAACACCTTATGAGTCGACTCAAAAGTTGAAAACCGCACGATCAGGACAACACCTTATGAGTCGACTCAAAAGTTGAAAACCGCACGATCAGGACAACACCTTATGAGTCGACTCAAAAGTTGAAAACGGCACGATCAGGACAACACTTTATGAGTCGACTCAAAAGTTGAAATCCGCACGATCAGGACAACACCTTATGAGTCGACTCAAAAGTTGAAAACGCACGACCAGGACAACACCTTATGAGTCGACTCAAAAGTTGAAAACCGCACGATCAGGACAACACCTTATGAGTCGACTCAAAAGTTGAAAACCGCACGATCAGGACAACACCTTATGAGTCGACTCAAAAGTTGAAACCGCACGACCAGGACAACACCTTATGAGTCGACTCAAAAGTTGAAAACCGCACGATCAGGACAACACCTTATGAGTCGACTCAAAAGTTGAAAACCGCACGATCAGGACAACACCTTATGAGTCGACTCAAAAGTTGAAAACCGCACGATCAGGACAACACCTTATGAGTCGACTCAAAAGTTGAAAACCGCACGATCAGGACAACACCTTATGAGTCGACTCAAAAGTTGAAAACCGCACGATCAGGACAACACCTTATGAGTCGACTCAAAAGTTGAAAACCGCACGATCAGGACAACACCTTATGAGTCGACTCAAAGGTTGAAAACCACACGATCAGGACAACACCTTATGAGTCGACTCAAAAGTTGAAAACCGCACGATCAGGACAACACCTTATGAGTCGACTCAAAAGTTGAAAACCGCACGATCAGGACAACACCTTATGAGTCGACTCAAAAGTTGAAAACGCACGACCAGGACAACACCTTATGAGTCGACTCAAAAGTTGAAAACCGCACGATCAGGACAACACCTTATGAGTCGACTCAAAAGTTGAAAACCGCACGATCAGGACAACACCTTATGAGTCGACTCAAAAGTTGAAAACCACACGATCAGGACAACACCTTATGAGTCGACTCAAAAGTTGAAAACCGCACGATCAGGACAACACCTTATGAGTCGACTCAAAAGTTGAAAACCGCACGATCAGGACAACACCTTATGAGTCGACTCAAAAGTTGAAAACCGCACGATCAGGACAACACCTTATGAGTCGACTCAAAAGTTGAAAACCGCACGATCAGGACAACACCTTATGAGTCGACTCAAAAGTTGAAAACGCACGACCAGGACAACACCTTATGAGTCGACTCAAAAGTTGAAAACCGCACGATCAGGACAACACCTTATGAGTCGACTCAAAAGTTGAAAACCGCACGATCAGGACAACACCTTATGAGTCGACTCAAAAGTTGAAAACCGCACGATCAGGACAACACCTTATGAGTCGACTCAAAAGTTGAAAACCGCACGATCAGGACAACACCTTATGAGTCGACTCAAAAGTTGAAAACCGCACGATCAGGACAACACCTTATGAGTCGACTCAAAAGTTGAAAACCGCACGATCAGGACAACACCTTATGAGTCGACTCAAAAGTTGAAAACCGCACGATCAGGACAACACCTTATGAGTCGACTCAAAGTTGAAAACCGCACGATCAGGACAACACCTTATGAGTCGACTCAAAAGTTGAAAACGCACGACCAGGACAACACCTTATGAGTCGACTCAAAAGTTGAAAACCGCACGATCAGGACAACACCTTATGAGTCGACTCAAAAGTTGAAAACCGCACGATCAGGACAACACCTTATGAGTCGACTCAAAAGTTGAAACCGCACGACCAGGACAACACCTTATGAGTCGACTCAAAAGTTGAAAACCGCACGATCAGGACAACACCTTATGAGTCGACTCAAAAGTTGAAAACCGCACGATCAGGACAACACCTTATGAGTCGACTCAAAAGTTGAAAACCGCACGATCAGGACAACACCTTATGAGTCGACTCAAAAGTTGAAAACCACACGATCAGGACAACACCTTATGAGTCGACTCAAAAGTTGAAAACCGCACGATCAGGACAACACCTTATGAGTCGACTCAAAAGTTGAAAACCGCACGATCAGGACAACACCTTATGAGTCGACTCAAAAGTTGAAAACGGCACGATCAGGACAACACTTTATGAGTCGACTCAAAAGTTGAAATCCGCACGATCAGGACAACACCTTATGAGTCGACTCAAAAGTTGAAAACGCACGACCAGGACAACACCTTATGAGTCGACTCAAAAGTTGAAAACCGCACGATCAGGACAACACCTTATGAGTCGACTCAAAAGTTGAAAACCGCACGATCAGGACAACACCTTATGAGTCGACTCAAAAGTTGAAACCGCACGACCAGGACAACACCTTATGAGTCGACTCAAAAGTTGAAAACCGCACGATCAGGACAACACCTTATGAGTCGACTCAAAAGTTGAAAACCGCACGATCAGGACAACACCTTATGAGTCGACTCAAAAGTTGAAAACCGCACGATCAGGACAACACCTTATGAGTCGACTCAAAAGTTGAAAACCGCACGATCAGGACAACACCTTATGAGTCGACTCAAAAGTTGAAAACCGCACGATCAGGACAACACCTTATGAGTCGACTCAAAAGTTGAAAACCGCACGATCAGGACAACACCTTATGAGTCGACTCGAAGGTTGAAAACCACACGATCAGGACAACACCTTATGAGTCGACTCAAAAGTTGAAAACCGCACGATCAGGACAACACCTTATGAGTCGACTCAAAAGTTGAAAACCGCACGATCAGGACAACACCTTATGAGTCGACTCAAAAGTTGAAAACGCACGACCAGGACAACACCTTATGAGTCGACTCAAAAGTTGAAAACCGCACGATCAGGACAACACCTTATGAGTCGACTCAAAAGTTGAAAACCGCACGATCAGGACAACACCTTATGAGTCGACTCAAAAGTTGAAACCGCACGACCAGGACAACACCTTATGAGTCGACTCAAAAGTTGAAAACCGCACGATCAGGACAACACCTTATGAGTCGACTCAAAAGTTGAAAACCGCACGATCAGGACAACACCTTATGAGTCGACTCAAAAGTTGAAAACCGCACGATCAGGACAACACCTTATGAGTCGACTCAAAAGTTGAAAACCGCACGATCAGGACAACACCTTATGAGTCGACTCAAAAGTTGAAAACGCACGACCAGGACAACACCTTATGAGTCGACTCAAAAGTTGAAAACCGCACGATCAGGACAACACCTTATGAGTCGACTCAAAAGTTGAAAACCGCACGATCAGGACAACACCTTATGAGTCGACTCAAAAGTTGAAAACCGCACGATCAGGACAACACCTTATGAGTCGACTCAAAAGTTGAAAACCGCACGATCAGGACTTGAGCACATGCGCGCCTTGAGCACGACTGACACATGTGCGCCCTCGGCACGACTGACACATGGGCCCCCTCCTCGGCACGACTGACACATGCGCGCCCTCCTCGGCACGACTGACACATGCGCGCCCTCGGCACGACTGACACATGCGCGCCCTCCTCGGCACGACTGACACATGCGCGCCCTCCTCGGCACGACTGCCACATGCGCAGGTGCACGACTCACAGGTGCAGCAGTTTGGGCAGTCTGCTGATCTCTGCTGGAACAGACGTGAAGAGGTTGTTGCTCATGTGGCTGCAGGGCAGGGGGACGACAGGGGGGGATAGAGGAGGAGGAAGGGAGAGAGAGGCGGAGGGGAGGAAATGAGAATAGTCTGCGACTCATGCATTGGAGGAGTCGAGGGGGAAAGAAAAGGGAAGGGGAGGCGAGGGGGAGAGAAAGGTGGGAGCGGGGGAAGGCACAGAAGCAGAAAGCGAACGGGACAGAGAACAAAATAGATGGAGGGGAGAGAGGACGTGGGAAGAGATGATAGACACTCACAGGTGGCTGAGCTCGTTTGCACCCTTGAACATGGGCAGGGGGCCTTCCATCGGGTTCTTCATGGCGTTAAGCTTGTGGATGCGATGCAGGGAAGAGGAAGGAGACGAGGTGTCACTCACAGGTGCCCGAGCTCGTTGGCACCATCGAATGTCGGCAGAGCCCCTTCCAGCTGGTTCTCCATGACGTCAAGCATGTAAAGGCGCGGGAGGGTGCCTACCTGTGCAGGCGGGGGCGGGTGTCACTCACAGGTGCCCGAGCTCGTTCGCACCCTCGAATGTCGGCAGGGGCCCTTCCAGCTGGTTCTCCATGACGTCAAGCATGTAGAGCTGGGGGAGGGTGCCTATCTGTGCAGGCAGGGAGCCCGAGAGGCGGTTCTGGTTGACCAGGAAGTAGCTCAGGCTGGTGAGGCGACCGATGGTGGATGGGATGGAGCCGGATAGGCGGCACCCGTGCATGTCCCTGCATGCAATTGCGCGGGGCGAGAGGAGGGGAGGAAGGAAGAGGCGGTTGTGGACCGTTGACCAGGAAGTATCTGAGGCCGATGGTGGATGGGATGGTGCCGGACAGGCCGCACCCGTGCACGTCCCTGCGTGTCATTGAGGGGGGCATGAGAAGGGGAGGAATGAAGAGGTTGTGGTTGACCAGGAAATAGCTGAGGCTGGTAAGCCGCCCTATGGTGGAGGGAGGGCTTTTGAGACGTCTCAGTGGATGGGATGGAGCCTGATAGGCCGCACCCGTGCATGTCCCTGCGTGTCATTGAGGGGGGCATGAGGAGGGGAGGAAGGAAGAGGTTCTGGTTGACCAGGAAGTATTTGAGGCTGGTGAGCCGCCCTATGGTGGATGATTTTTTGAGATGTCTCAAAAGCCCTATGGTGGATGATTTTTGAGATGTCTCAAAAGCCCTATGGTGGATGGGATGGAGCCAGACAGGCCCACCCGTGCATGTCCTGCTTGGTTTGTTGGTTTTGAGGGGGTTGCAGGAGTTGGAGTGAGGGGGGCGTGAGAAGGGGAGGAAGGAAGTAGTTGAGGCTGGTGAGGCGCCCTATGGTGGATGGGATGGAGCCGGACAGACAGGCCGCACCCGTGCATATCCCTGCGTGTCATTGCACAGGGCGAGAGGAGGGGAGGAAGGAAGAGGCAGTTCTGGTTGACCAGGAAGTATCTGAGGCTGGTGAGTCGGCCTATGGTGGCGGAAATGGAGCCCGATAGGCCGCACCCGTGCATGCCCCTGCTTGTTGTTAAAGGGGGGCGTGAGAAGGGGAGGAAGGAAAGAGGCGGTTGTGGTCGACCAGGAAGTATTTGAGGCTGGTGAGGCTGGTGTGGCTGGTTGGTGAGTCGCCCTATGGTGGATGGGATGGAGCCGGACAGGTTGCAACCGTGCACGTCGCTACTTGTTGTTGATGGGGGGGAAAGGGAGGGGCCGTAGATGGGGTGAGGGAAGAGGAGGGGGGGAGGAAGTTCAGATAGCCTGTGTGCTTACAAACAAACAATGTGTATGCTTATATCAGAGATGAAGTGTGCTTACAGCGCAGCAGTGTGCTTACAGCGCAGCAGAGCAGAGAGATCTCACAGCGTGGTGAGCTGGAGGAGGTTCCCGAGTGCATCTGGAAAGCTGCCCGTCAGATTTGGGTTGAGCGCCAGATTGCTGAGGGAGACAGATGGGGGGCAGGAGAGGGGAGGGGAGGCGGACGAAGATTGCTGTGAGATGGAAGCCTTACCATGAGCTTAAAAATAAGTGAGGGTGCAACTGGGAGGGGGAGGAAGGAGGGATGGAAAGTGCGAGCGTGCAGTGAGATAAAACCAGTCCACGAGGAGAGGGTTAAGCGGCAAATTTCTAGTGCTGGCGGGGGAAAGTGGTGGGTGTAAACAACGGGGAAGGAGGACGAGCGACGTGGGGCACTGGCCTCTTGGTATTGGTTGTCCTAACCGGCCTCTGCATGGGTGCAAGTGAAGCTTGCTCCTGCCGAGCCGGCTCGCACATTTTCTCAGGCCTACTAGCATACTTGCTGATCCCTTGACTTATTGCAATGGTTAATACGGACGAGGAGAGAAGGAAAGGAGGCGACTTTTGAGGCGCCTCAAAAGCCGCACATTTGATCAGGCCTACAAGCATACTTGCTGATACCTTGACTTATTGCAATGGTAAAGACATAAGAGGAGAGAAGGAGAGGAGAGATGCAGCCAAGTGAAAGAGAGGGAGGAGCGGATGGGCATGGCATGGAAACTCACAGCGAGCGAAGTGATGTGAGGTTAAAAATGGAAGGCGGCAAATTTCCTGCTAAATTGACTTTGGAGTCGACTCAAAAGCCACCTCGGATGGGCATGGGATGGCATGGCAACTCACAGCAAGCGCAGCGATGTGAGGTCGAAAATGGAAGGCGGCAAGTCTCCTGATAGATTGGCATCTTGAATGTCACTGAGGGAGGAGTGTGAAAATGCAAAGGGGAACGACAGGGTAGGGGGGTGCCGGGTGGAGAGAAACAGAATGAGGCAAGCGGTGGGAGAGATCCGTGGGCTTGCTTGCTGGGGCCGAATCTCGTCGTCGAATCTCTTGCATGAGGCATCTGGTGGAAGAGAATTCACACAATACTTCTGATAAAAGTAGACTTTTGAGACGTCTCATAAAACAAGGGAGAATAAAGTCCGCCAGCGTCGCACTTGATGTCACGCGCACGCTCTGCAAGCACACTCAGCCAGCCAACATGCTCGCTTCTTCTGCCCCACCACACCACACGGGTCAACCACCACCCCTCCAGGCACAAGTCGCCGCCATGTTTCTGGTTGGCTTAAGCTGTCATCTTGTGGATCGTCCCAAAGGTCACTGGATTTATACTTTGGAGCAGCTCAGCTCAGTGTGGAAAAGAGGGGCGATAGCACAGAGGAAAATGCAAGGAACGGAAGGTTCGGAATATCGTTTGAGTGGGGCTGGCCTTCGAGAAGCAACCGGAATGTTGATGACAACTTGGCATGGCTCCAATCACCCGGCATGGCTCCAATCACCCGGCATGGCTCCAATCACCCGGCATGGCTCCAATCACCTGGCATGGCTCCAATCACTTTTGAGTCGACTCAAAAGCAACAGGAATGTTGATGAAAACTTGGCATGGCTCCAATCACCTGGCATGGCTCCAATCACCCGGCATGGCTCCAATCAATCACCAGAGGCAACGCTGGAAGGGAACAAACCTCCATGAGTCCTCCAGACTAGAAGTAAGGTTGGTAAAGAAAAGATTGACAAACAACAGCTGTCGAGAGTGGGATTTGAACCCACGCCCTTTCGGACTGGAACCTTAATCCAGCGCCTTAGACCAACTCGGCCATCTCGACACGGTAGGTTACAAATCTGTCATTTATTACAGAGATGAATCTGACAGTGTCTTGTCAAGATGCCAGGCCACGCTCTCCCCCCACCCCCCCCAACATGGGTCTTCCCCGCCCAAGCACAGAGCACCCACACTCTCCTCCCCATCTGCTGTACACGGGTCATCCCCCCTCCAAGGACAGAGCACCACCCTATTGCCCCTGCACTCACATCTCAGCCACAGTGTTATATGGTTTGCCAGTGCTACATTTGATGCCAGCCCATGCCCTCACTGCATCGCACCACTGCACTGGTTGTCCCCCGTCCAAGCACAAGTAAGAATCCCACTGCCCCTCGCTGCCCACTGCTCTTCATTGCACTCACATCGCAGCAACTGTACTGTACGGGCTGCCAGTGCCGCAATTGATGCCAGCCCATGCGTTCCCAGCATCTGCCATCTCACACGGGCACAAAGCACCACCACCCCAGTCCCCCAAGACGCACTCACATCTCAGCCACGGAATTATACGGGCTGCCAGTGTCGCACTTGATGCCAGCCCACGCGCTCCCCGCCTCTCCCCCACACGGATCATCCCCCGTCCACGCGTTGAGCGGGGGGCTGCTGGGGTTGCCTAGAGCCGCGAAGGTCTTAAGAGCGGCCACTGGAATAAGGGGCGAGGGAAGGAGGGGAACGCAAAGAAGGATTTGTTGTGCGTCGACTCAAGAGTGCATGGGCATGGCTGCACAGTGCATCAGCTGTGCATGACATGAGGCATGTCTTGGGGTTGCTGGGGTTGGCTAGAGCAGTGAAGGTTCTCGGAATGGCCGCTGGATGGCGGGGTGAGCAGGAGAGGAACACCAGAAGGCCCGAGGCATGGGCATGGGCATGAGCATGAGCATATGAGCATGAGCATATGAGCACGAGCATATGAGCATGAGCACATGAGCATGAGCAAAAGAGCATGAGCATATGAGCATGAGCATGAGCATTGTCGGAGAATCATCCTCTGTTGCATCCCGTGGCTTGCCTGCTCCTTCCTGGACTCACCCTCGCTCCCTTCTTCTTCTGAGCTCTGTTCCTGTGCTACCTTACCTGCTCTGCCTCAGCCACTACCTGCCCCCTCCAGAGCTCGTGCTCGGGTCTCCCGTGCACGTGTCACTGGACACTCTTGCTGAGGCCGGTTGCCTTTCACCACAGCAGCATTCGTCAGGTGGTACCCCGTCTACTCTCTTCTCTGATTCCTCAGCACCAGCACTCTTGAACCCCTCAGGTCCTTCGCCTCCCTTCTCTGCGTGTCAGGTGCCACTTTCCGAGTATCCCTCTTTGCAGGTAGGCTTCCTGTCCCCCTTCCACTGCTGTAGCTGTCGTTATTGCCGCCCTGCTTCAGTCGCTGCTTGTGCCTGTGGGTGTGCATTTCTCAACTCTACTGTAAGCATGACCTCCGCCGCTGCCGTTTTCTCCTCCTCCAGGTATTCTGCTGCCTTGGCTCCCTCCCTTGCCACCCAGTCCTCAGCCCCTTTCATTCCCGCTGGTCGTGACAGCACCTGTGTTGCTGGCTGCATCGGATCATCTTCTTTGAGAATTCTCAAAAAACACGCTCATCTTCCCATATTCCTCGCGTAATCCACCTTACTGTCTTCACGGCCTCTTTTCCTTCCGGGCTCATCGCACCTCCCATTGTATGCCCTACTTCTTCCCCTGCAGGCGGACACTCCCATGCCCCCATTTCCTTGCTCTCACTCTCTCTGCTTCCTCCTGCTCCTGGGCTTTATCCCACACTGAACCTTCCCATCCTCCTACGCGTAGGTCTCCTTGCCCCCAGTCGCACGCCATCTCTACCTTCATGCTCCTCACACCCGTCTTCGTTCTTCTCACGGCTTCTTTCACCATTTTCTCCCCCAGCAGCTGTGAATGTTCTTCCCTCAGCTTCCTCACATGCCGGTTTGTCATCATACTTCCCTGCACTTGCTAAAGGCGACCTTGCCTACTGCTGCCCTTCTTCATGAGAACAGATCCGTCATCATACTTCCCTGCACTTGCTAAAGGCGACCTTGCCTACTGCTGCCCTTCTTCATGAGAACAGATCCGTCATCATACTTCCCTGCACTTGCTAAAGGCGACCTTGCCTACTGCTGCCCTTCTTCATGAGAACAGATCCGTCATCATACTTCCCTGCACTTGCTAAAGGCGACCTTGCCTACTGCTGCCCTTCTTCATGAGAACAGATCCGTCATCATACTTCCCTGCACTTGCTAAAGGCGACCTTGCCTACTGCTGCCCTTCTTCATGAGAACAGATCCGTCATCATACTTCCCTGCACTTGCTAAAGGCGACCTTGCCTACTGCTGCCCTTCTTCATGAGAACAGATCCGTCATCATACTTCCCTGCACTTGCTAAAGGCGACCTTGCCTACTGCTGCCCTTCTTCATGAGAACAGATCCGTCATCATACTTCCCTGCACTTGCTAAAGGCGACCTTGCCTACTGCTGCCCTTCTTCATGAGAACAGATCCGTCATCATACTTCCCTGCACTTGCTTCTCTGCCTTCAGTTCACACGACCGTGCCCCCACCTTCTCGTCCTTCCATTCTGCCTTCGCTGCTGCTGTTACACACGCTCCCGCCCCCACCTGCTCTTCCTTTTCCTCTGCCTTCGCTGCTGCTGTTACACACGCTCCCGCCCCCACCTGCTCTTCCTTTTCCTCTGCCTTTGCTGCTGCTGTTACACACGCTCCCGCCCCCACCTGCTCTTCCTTTTCCTCTGCCTTCGCTGCTGCTGTTACACACGCTCCCACCCCCACCTGCTCTTCCTTTTCCTCTACCTTCGCTGCTGCTGTTACACACGCTCCCACCCCCTTCTTCTCGTCCTTCTCTTCCCCTTCTGCTGCTGCCCATGCCCCCACCTTCTCGTCCTTCCCTTCCGTGCCTGCCGCTACTGGTTCATCCGCCCCTGCCCCCACCTTCTCGTCCTCCTCTTGCGGTTCTGGTGTTACTTGCACACATACCCATGCCCCCACCCTACTTAATTGCTTCCTTTGTCCGTCCCTGCCCCCATTGCGCCACCCCATGTCTTCATGGCGACGCAGCACCGCACAGGAGTACTCTGGCTCCTGCTCGTCTTCCTCCTCTTCCTCTTCCCTCGCGTGCAGTCCTGCTGCCTTCTCCGTCTTGCCTCCCAAAGCCTGCAGCTGAGCCCGCAATCTTCGTATCTGAGATTCTATTTCCTCTTGTGACCTCCTCGCTCCCCCAATCCTCTGATAGCAGTCCTTCTGCTGATGCCCCCTCTTCCCACACACTTCGCAGGTTGGCGCGCCAGGGCAGTTCTGACCGCGGTGCCCTGGTTTCCCACACACGTCGCAGTTCTTGCAATTCACCCTCACATGTCCTGGCTGTCCACACCTGTAGCAGGTCTTCGTGTCCGTCCTTCTCTCATATTGCTGCTCCTCTCCGCCTCCCGCCCCCGGCATCATTGCTGCCGCCCAGGTGGGTCGCATCTTCTCAGCCACCCTTGGCAGGTATGCCTCATAACGCCTCTGTGCCAGCTCCACCTTTTCTGTTAGCTCAAACACTTCCTCCAGGCTTGCTTCTGCCCCCAGTTCTCTCATTTTCAGTTCTCCGGCCAGCCCATCGTCCAATCCTGCCAGGAACTTACTGATCAGCATACTGCTGTCGGTACACACCACATCCTCGGCCAGGTTCATGAGCCGCCCATAATACGCCAGCAACGACTCGTCCTTCTTGCGTTTGAAGTCCTGAAACTCCTTGATTCGCTTTGCCGTGTGTCCTGGGAATTGCTTGCGCAGCCGTTCCAGGAACAGTGACGTAGGGTCATCCCCATCCTCCTCTGCCCTCCTCAGCCACTCATGCATCTTCATGCGATACAATGTTACTGCTTCCCCACCCAGAGTGTTCGGCAGACTCAAAAAGAAGTCGATGGGGTACATCCCACTCCAATCACACCTGTACTTGACATTCCCAATCTGCATCAGATAATTCTTCAGATTAGTGCTTGTCCCTCCATTCCCGGTGAAACGCACTGGCACCTCTACTTGTGGTGGCGCCTGCATGCCCCCTCTCCCTGAGTCCCAGGTTCCCATTGCTCCTCGCTCCGCGCG